TTTCTAAGGGAAACTGGCTCGTATACACGTTACACATGGAGAAAACCGCGAAAACACACATCCAGCCAGCCCGTTCGCGGGATTCGAACCTCAACCGAACTACCAGTGTTCAGCGACTTTACCGCTCGGCCGCTGGTGGGCTGAAGTACACTCGCTTTTTTAAGTTATTATTATTATTGGAACGAATTCGGAGTTTTCTTTACATCTGAAACTACCAGTTTTACAGATACTTGATTTACACAACAGCGAGAGGGGTATACGTTCTAGACTTCCTTTTTCAAAGACGTCTCCAAATCCTGTCACGATATTTTAAAATAAGCAAAATTTTATTTATTATTTTTTAGTTTAAAGTTTAAAAAATATTAAATTAGAAGAAGGAATAAAATTTTAAATTTTGTATATTAAAATTAGGCGAATCAGCAATGTTATTTGGGCAGAGATTTCGAATAAACAATCACCAAATTCGAGGGCGATCAGACGCAGGTTCGTCTAACTGCAAAATGGGAAATAACTGCAAAATGGGAGGAGCCATATTTATATTTATATCGAAAGCATTAGGCGGAGCAGAGCAAACATAAATGTAGCGCCATCTATCGAGTAAAGTAGTCATGAAACATGAAAAACTAAGATATTAGAATTCTAATAGGAAAGACTATTGTTTTAGATTCCTTGTTCAAAAATCAAACCTTCGATCGTAATTTTGTTCTTAGATTGGTCGTTTGTCGATATTCTCCGATATCGTTTAGCGAAGTCTCAGTTTGTAAATGAGTGCGAATTTGAGTAGGCAGTATCTGTTATTCGATTACCATGCAGAGATCATTAGACGTTTTATATTATTTCGAAGTAGAATACATGAAAAATGTGCTATGCAGTCGCCAGGACTTGAACCCCGGACGTTCCGATTGTTAGACGAGCGTGCTTTCTGTTTACACCAAGAAGGTACGCGGTAAAGAAGAAGAAAATCTTTACATTCTCCCTCACTGAAAGGACGACCGGGGAGGAAGCGACCCAATCGCCAAAACCTGTCCCTTGAGGAGGGGTTGGATCGGATTTCCGGCACCGACCACTTATTGGGGGAAGACCGGGGTCTAGTCTGGCCTTTCTGGATAACTGCAAAAATAATACGGACACCCATCATTAGGTGTGTAACTGATAAGAACATGAAGTTATGACGTATTGAAGAAGACATAGGTTTAAAAACTGGTTAATATATAAGTTCCACTCTCCACAACATAGACAATGTAATGACCTATCCATGACAATGTAATGATTAATTGATCGTATATTTATTTTTCATACGGATTATTATGTAACAATTATTGTATAGATGACATTGTCAATTTAGCATTGTAATATTACTGTCATTGATTCAGTGAATGCCGCTGGCGGTGGATGGTAGATTCTTTTCCGTCGCATGGACATATAACTCTGATTGGTGCAGAACCTTAGGTCGGAGGTCCATGCGACTGCGTATCAGTCTGGCCTTTCTGAGAGGGGATTAGTTAAGAGGCAAGTGACGTTCAATATATAGCCCTTCACGCCTCTAATCTGACATAGGCCTTCTCGTGGCCCCACTGATAGCCAGGTTTGCCTGGGCTAACTATGTTCGGATGACCTCCCCGAGGGGCGGTCGAATGGGACCGGCAATCCCTGCATACTGGCTAGATCAATATCTAGACACACTCGACTTCAGAGGCAAAATTAACAGTCTTGATAGTGACTAGAACAATTGTTTATACGGTGGTAAGTTCAGGCTCTGCAGGGATCATATGGTACCAGATTTTAAAATGACTACTGTAAGTTTTTCTTCACGGACAATATATGACCCATTTATGACCATGGACCACCACCTTATATCATATATAACCATGAACCACCACCATATATGACCATATATAACCATGGACAACCACCACATATAACCTATATATGACCATGGACCACCACCTTATACCATCATATATGACCATGGACCACCACCACTTTATACCACCATATATGACCATGGACCAATCTAGAGAAACTTAGCTTCGCAATAACAAAGGTAACGCCTTCATTTATTGTTGCCAATTAAATCATGCTTAATACTGTTTGGAATTTTTCGAGGAAATAAGTGTTTAGAATTTACTTCGCAATTTTTAATATACATATTTTGAGTTTTTATGTATTTTTGCCTTCTCACGAAGTGAGAACTGAATTCATTGAATGAGAAATACTCAATCGTCTGTGAAAAACTGTTTCTTTTTTGCTTTGTTTGCTTAATTTCTTTTATACATCATTCTAGCTTTATTATAGCATTTGAATAGAATATGTGGCAACGATTATATAATTCTTAACATGATATAAATTTCGTGCATTCTGAGTTATAATATGAACGAAATATAATACTGTTAAGTGAATCTAGCGCCAGAGTGTCGCTATGGTAAACAAATACTAGAGTGAATTTTAAAGAATGCATTTATTCTATTGTGGTTTATGCGCTGTCGGCGAAGTAGATTTAATTCAATCCAATAAGTTTAAATGAAATGCAAGAAAAAATGCATATAATTTAATATTCCGTACAAAGAAGTCATGTGGTGTACACATCAGATTTTTTATATATTACTTTGAGCTTGATAATTCCCGGAATGTTATTTTTTTTGTAATGTTTAGAATGCTAAATAAATAAGTTCGTTGTTAATTAAAATGGTTTCCCCTGCGAAATATATTACCATTCGTCCGAAGTTATGAAATAAGTCAAGAAACGATTAATTTCAAACAGTTTTTTTCTCGAGTTACAGATCTGGATTGCACTCGAAGACGCGGAGCGGCGTAAATGAGACACTTTACCGCTTGTTATATTGTAGCGCACGGCACCGCAACCGTGAAGTTTAATCGTAGCGCAAGTGGTTAAAAATCCTGAATTTTTTTCTATTCATGACACAGCAGCGAGCATAATACGTCCGTCCACTCCTGGATGTCCAGTAACCTGACTTACATTTAGCAAAAAAATTTGTAAATTACTTAATTAAAATCGTATTTAATACTGAATCCGTTTTGCTTCTTAGTATGACAACAATTGAAAATATTTTTTTAAATACTTAGACACTCATCCCTGAGCAAATAAAGTACATGCAAAAACATCTGATCTTCAAACCTTTTAGATTACATTATGCTAAATCAATTATAATCTTCACCTAAATGTCCACAAGAAAAATTTAAATTTTTACAGTGGAAGAACTTAAAACATAACAAAAAAAAATTTCTGAAAGTTTTCAGATTTTACATTACGCCCATAGAGACGTTTTATTAAAATTTCATGGGTTACCTTTATCTATTAAATATCGTGTCATTCGCACTTAAACAATAAAATTGATTTCAACAGCAATATCACAAAACAATTTTAAAAGGGGCATATCCTTTAAAATTTCAGATACAGAAACTCGCGCGCTGGAGAGAAAAGTTTTTTCTCTGTACAACGTTGCCATGGCTCGATTTGAAATCCTTGAGTTTGTTAATCAAAAATTCGTTAAGTTTTACAAATATGAAATCGATCATAAAACAAATTCCAAATTTCCTCTTCCAGATGCCCATATTCGCAGTAGGATTACATCATTCAAAATTCGATGGCTCTGTGTACCGTCGTTTTATCACAATTCGAAAAATATACATACATTTATGCTGATTCTTCATTATTTAATTTCTTTAAATATGATACAGGGCGATAATATTCGGTGGCAACAATTTAAAAAATGAAACAACACTTGTAACGAATCAACGCAAAATGCCAAAACGAAATTAATAGCCCTTCTGGTCAAATTGCCCCGTTGGACTAAAAAATCTGAAAGCTATCAAATTTTACATTACGCCCAAATGGGTGCTTTTTTAACGTTTTGTGGGTTACCTATAATTATTAGATTTAATGCTCTTGGCACTTAAACCATAAAATTCAGTTCAACGCAATATCGTAAGATAATTTTAGCAAAAATGTTTTATTTACTACATTCCACCCTTTTGTAGTTCTTTAAATACTGTATATATATTAATAAAACAATTTGAAGGACCAAAGTCCATAGCTATCTTATAACAGTTAATATGCATGTGTGATACAAGCTCTTGATCATCCAAGGTGACCTTGGTGTAAGAATTTCCGATACACAGTCTCCAGCGCTGGAGATAAGAACGTTTTTTTCCGCACAGTGTTGGCATGGTTCGCTTCGAAATCGTAGAGTTTGTTAATAAAAATTCCTTAAAGTTTACAAAATACGAAATAGATAATAAAACAAATTCCAAATTTGTGCTTTCAGATGCCAATGTGCGTGTGTGTAATTAAGGCAAAGCCTCGAGGGAGGGATGCCTTCGTGGAGGACTTTCTAAGGGAAACTGGGTCGTATACACGTTACACATGGGGAAAACCACAAAAACGCCCATGCAGCCAGTCCGTTCGCGGGATTCGGACCTCGGACCGAACTACCAGTGTTCAGCGACTTTACCGCTCGGCCGCTGGTGGTTCAGATGCCAATATTCCGGTGGAAACGTACGCTGTTCAAAATTCGATGGCTCTAGTAACCGTAGTTTTATCACCACAATGCGAGAAACATACATGCATTTATTGCAGATTCTTCATTATTTAATTTCTTTAAATATAATACAGGACTGTAATATTGGGTGGCAACAGTTTGAAAATTTGACCGACATTTAAAGTTTTCAACGCAAAATGCCAAAACGAAATGAAGAGCTCTTCTGGGCTAACGCCCTTTGGGTTAAAAAACATGGATTTTTTATTATTGGAAGAATTTATGAATCTCTTTCTTGTTTTCAACGATAAAATATCTTCCTCTATGACGCAATATTTTTTACGAGCGCTATATGTTTACGTCATTGTCACGTTTTCTACATTTATTATTACGTAATACTTTTTGGAAAATGATAAAGCACAGAATATTGAATACAAGCTATTGAGACCAAAAGCATTGTGCTGATTTTTATGAGTAGTTCAAAAGTATCAAAAGCGGAATTACTTTCCCAGATCCACAAGTGCTTCCTTCCAGTGCCGGATGAGCCACGGACGCCCACAGACCGGATACGCACCACAGTTCTCTGCATACATCCTGAAACACAATGAAAGGTGAATAAAAGACACGGAACAAAACACGGAATAAGTCATTACATAGTGAGAAGAAACAGTAAAAAATAAGTTTGATATTGCCGAATTTGTGTCTGACACAATGAAGGAAATTCAAACCACATTTCACGACAAAACTACAGTTTTTCAGTTACCTGAGATTAAGAAAAATTCAGTAATCAGTTTAAGTCTGTAATATTATAATAAATATTAAATAAAGTAAATAAAGTAAAGTAAAATATTAAATAAAGTAAAATTAAAAAAGAGAAAAATCTGAAAGCGGCTTTTTATTATTATTATTAAAATAATAATTTTATTAATTAATTATTATTAAATAATTATTAATTATTAATTAATTATTAATTATTTTAAAATAATAATAAGGTTTTGTGTGTCACCTTTATTCATTAAATATCTTATTCTTCGCACTTAAACCATAAAATTTAGTTCAACAGCAATATCGCAAAATAATTTTAAAATGAGCCTATCTTTAGAATTTCCGTTACACAGTCTCGCGCGCTGGAGATAATTTTTTTTTTTTATTTTATTTTACCGTACAGTGTTGCCAGGCTCGCTTTGAAATCGTGGAGTTTCTCAATCAAAAATTCGTTACAATGTTAAAAAATATGAAATCGATAATAAAACAAATTCCAAATTAAGGTTTCCGAATGTCCACATTCGGTGGAGGATTACGTTATTCAGAATTGGATGGCTCTAAGTACCGTTACTTTATCACAGTGTGAGAAACATACATATATTTATGCAGATTCTTATTTATTTAATTTCTTTAAATATAACACAGGACGATAATATTTATTTGGTGGCAACAATTTGAAAAGTGAAACGGAGATTTAAAGTTTTCAACTCAAAATACCAAAACGAAATTAATAGACTTTCTAGGTTAAAAACAATGAGAACAATAAAATACGACTATCTATCTTCTGCGAACAATTCGGTGTTAATACTCCGCATTTTTTCAGTTTTGTTGATTTTGACGAGACACATTGCTTTCAGATATACAGGGATATGGATTTGAGATTTTGGATGTGTAGTAGATAATGAATTATGGATACAATGTGAGATGCTTAATAAAATCACATGGAATTCCTTCCATGTATATAGAGTGTCTGCCTACGCGGATATGAACTGAATTAGAAATGTTTTACCATGTTCATGTAAATGTACTATAAATACATAAAAAGGACTGACTGGAATCAAAACTCAAGATATTCCTGCAGGTACGTTCTGTAAGAGACCGTACGTAAAAGAGATCGAGAGCATACTTCAAAGAATAAGGGATCTTCTTAAATTGTAAAATTTTGTTCGAGTTTTAGATTTACATAATTGAAAACACACGACTTCCTCGTACGGTATATTAAATTATACACATTTTCCCATGCCTTTCATTTATTTCCTCGAATTTCATTAGAGACATATTTCTCATTCAATTAATTTAGTCCTCACTTCGTGACAAGGCAAAAATATATAAAACCTCAAAATGTCTTTATATCAAAAATTGAAAAATATAAAACACCAAATGCAGGTAAAATAACTGAAAAACTATTTTTGCAATTCAAACTAAGAGTTTCTACAGAAAACAAGCGAACGAGCAAAAAGACATAGAGTGCCTATGACCATACATAGAGCATACGATACATACAATACATAGAGCGAAGTGCGATGCTGTCTGTTATACAATCTATCAGTTCCGTAGGAAGTGAGAGTCACTGTTTTTGAAAAGCAGTAAGCGTGGCAAAGGTCTGAAAAGCAGAATTGAGAGCAGCTATTCGTCTTTCTAAAAGCATCCCAAAGATGCTCGATAGGATTTAGGTCCGGTGACCGAGCTGGTCAATCCATGCACAGAATTGTTTGCTTCTGAAGAAAATCATCCACGATGCGAGCCCTGTAGGGTTTCACGTTGTTACCCTGCAGAAATTATCACCTACCCCTAAATGATGGTTTACTTAAGCATCATGGATGTCATCTCTATAGGCCTGATGGTTTACTTAAGCATCATGGATGTCATCTCTATAGGCCTGATGGTTTACTTAAGCATCATGGATGTCATCTCTATAGGCCTGATGGTTTTACGTGGAAGGACATGTGGGTATGGGCGTTCACGCAAAGAGATACCATCCAAAACACAGACACTTCCTCTTCCCTTATGTATCTCTTCGACGGATGTTTAAAGAATGATAACGGGTTCCAGGCTCTGTCCAAATCAAATAACGCCTACTTTCACTTTGTACTCATCTCTAAAGTACACATGGACTCATCTCTAAAGAGAACAGCCCTCCACTGATCATTCGTTAAACGGACATGTTGACGTGCCTACCTCAAACGTTCCCTTCTATGACATGACGTGCGTAGCACGCAAATGACTGGTCGGCTCTTGTACAGACCTTACGTGAAACTTTCTGCGCACGGTTTACGTTGATTCCATCCTTCTAGTGGCTGCAGCAAGGAAGGATCTGAGATAAAGCTCTATTCCTTCGTGCGCATAACAACAAATATCGGTCATCGGCGCTCGTCTGGGCGGCTGGCTGTCCTTGGCTGAACCCCGTGGATGCCAAATCTGAGGTTAGAAACTGTTGTCAAAGTCTATGAACAAGAGAAGGATCTCACATTTAGCCATCTGGTCACTTCTGTCTGACTTTGTCCTGCCCCTGGCGACAATGCATGCTTGAATCCATGGAGGCAAGGATTAGTAGAGCTTCCTAATGTCATCCTGTGACACATTTTGCCAGGCATTCATCAGTTGTCCCTCCAGATCTGTGATATCTAGTCTGATCTAGTCTTCCAATAGCTCTCCATCCCAGTTCATCGGGAAAGTGATGCGTAGAAGTCATTGCTACCAACTGGCTATCCCAAATTTCTCATCTCAGTATCACAGTGAAATTTGCAGGATTGCTCTGAAACTTGCAATTTTATGCTCTTCTCAGATGACGCATTTCGATTGCAGAGTCTCTAGTTTGTATACAGTAGTTTGTTTTACTCTGCAATTCGCATTTGACAACATATTCAAATTTTATATGGATTGGCTTATTTTTGAACGATTTATCGCTATTTTTGTGATTTTTTCTTAATTTTTGGAAACCAGCGTATATTGCAATGTCTTTATGTCCTAAATCATTCATTTTTTGCACTTGCTAATTTCCATAACACCGTAATTGTCTGGTAATTTCTTTCTATGCTGTTTTATACCTTACTATGTGTAGTCATTAATAGATACTGGAATGCAAGGTGTACAATGGGAATCTACGATGTAAAGTAAATAGTAAACTCTAGGTCCTCTTGGAAAACTTCATTTGCTCCTTTTCTTAACCTTTCTTTGCAAAGGTCCTATAAAGCTTGAAAAAGAAAATTATGAGTTAGTTAGCATGGGAAGGCATTATCAGGTGACCCATAGTACATTCCTTGTTTCCCCCATACTTTTACCTGAACCTATTAAAGAGGTATGCTTAATTTTACATATCGACTACTTACATTGAACGGAGACTTCGGAACAACATGTGGCTTGAATTCGTTTCCTAGAGACAGCTGGCATTGATCTTCGAGATCGAATCTCTCTCCTGGCAATTTACCATTCGATTCGTGGTCTACACCTTCTAGAACGTATGTGTTGTCGTCTTCAAGGCAAGCACCCAAACCTTTTCTGAAATGAAATACATGTTAATGAGCTTTACAGAAAGCTAATTAATGAAATAATTTGCTTTTTTTAACTTTAAAACTGAAAAACAGTAACTGTGAATAAATCTTTCATTTCCCAGAATGCTTCCAATATTAAAATTCGAAATTTATTTGTTCGCTCAGTTTATTAGCATTATGGTTGCTTGTTCCGCGACCACCTTCCGGCAAAGGGAACTTAGCAGAATTTTCTAATTCTCATAGAATTTCTCTCTTTCCCCCCTTGCTTTCTCTTCTCTTTCTCGGCAGAATTTCTATTTTTCACAGATTTGTGCATTTCGTTTTCCTTCTCGTTTGCGAACTGATAAAATATTACACATTACGTAAAACCTTTAAATTTTATTTTGTGCTGTAAATGGCAACAGAGAATCTTTAGTTACTTCTCTTTTAAACAAACAGCAATTCACATTTGTGAAAGAGATGATAGAAACCAATTTTAGTTTAATTTCTAAATTTTCAATCTTTTGCTATCTGACAGCTTTTGGATAGCCGGTAGCCAAATGGCTTGAACATAAATAGTTCAAAATGCATTCGCGCCCCACCGAATTGATTATTGTAAATGTGCCTTCATTTGTTTACCCCCCGTGGATAACACGAATGCCATATAAACTCTTTTGCAAAAAACTCGAAGCACCATGAAGAAAGTGGTTGTTTTTGATGAAGTTGAATATGTGCATAGCTCATACACAGATAATAAAATGATTAAAAAACCAAGATCATAGTACCTGTTCACGGCTCACAATCATCCATTGAGTGTTCAAATTAGCAGATGGTCGAACCGCCCCTGGCGACAATGCATGCTTGAATCCATGGAGGCAAGGATTAGTAGAGCTTCCTAATGTCATCCTGCGACACATTTTGCCAGGCATTCATCAGTTGTCACTCCAGATCTGCGATATTTTGTGGTGCCCGAATCTGGCGACCTACCATGTCCCAGACATGCTGGATTGGTGAAACGTCTCTTGACCTTGCTGGCGAAGGAAGAATATTAATCGCACGGTGACAGTCCAGAGATATGCAAGTGGTATGTGGCCTGGCGGTATCTTGTTGGAAAATGGCCCCAGGATAACGTGCCATGAAGGGTAATGCAACCGGCCGCAGGATGGTATCAACATATCGTTGAGCTGTTAAAGATGTACGGAGGATGACTAAAGATACCAGGGATTATGGTTGTAAACCTTTGTAAAATGTCAAAGGCTGATTGGGACCGCTGGTCCCGTCCTCTCCAGACACGAACATGGTGGTCATCTTCTTCAAGTGTGAAGCGGGATTCATTGCTAACACTATACGATGGCAGTTTGATGGCAGCCATGATGATCGGCTGCGACACCACTGCAGACGATTCCGCCGATGTTGTGAGGTCAAAGGCAAACGTCTTAAAGGCCTCTGTGAACGTAACCTCGCCTCAGACAAGCGCCGTGAGATGGTGGATGGTATCACGGGAGGTACAGACGTGACTGCAGTGCGTTGAATAGTCGACAATGATACCGTTGGGGCGATTCGGGCCTGGCGAACAATCATCCTAGCTTGCCTCACATTTGTGCTCCTTGGTCTTCCAGAGCCTTCGTTTCGTCGGCAATTTCCTTGTAGCAGCCATTGCTGCCAACATCTTTGCATAGCAGTGTCTGTACGCTGCAAGTGGCGGCCTATTGCTGGATATCACCACCCAGCTTCACGCAAACCTACAATGCGACCACGTTCGAAGTCGTTTAGTTGTCTGTAAGGTCTTCGATATCGTCGTAATGGCATCTTCAGTTGCTTCTTTACGGAATTATAATGGCGGCAACAAAAAAAGATACATTTTCCGCCTCTGTTCCTGGTTTTATACTTTGTGAATTGTGCACAAGAAATGCGTGCTATCATCGCAATTTCTGTTCATTTGCCTTGAAACTTTGATCACTTGCATGTTCGATCAAGATGTTTTTGCATACCAAATTTCGTCACGATCGCAAAAGCCCTTCTTTTGCAGCTTCGATGTTTTTGCGAAAGAGCGTACTACTTTCTCTTGGTAAATCACCCACAGGAGTTTTCTCAAGAAGATAAAGAGGACATCTCAGCTTTTTAAATAGCTTCTTCTTAAATTCAATTAACACGGAGAGGATAAATCTAAATTTTTTAAAAACTGATTGGGCGACTTTTACAAAACGTGGCTTTTTGCAATAATTTGAGTCGAGGCAAGTTAAAAATGCCATTAAAAATTGAATATTTTGAAATTAAATACGCAGGTCAAATTTTGAGTGGACCTTAAAAATTCATCCTGCGCAAATTGCTGCAAAGATTTAATTAATTGCTAATGTAAAGTAAAGACACTTAATAACTATAAAGGCAAAAGAAATTCAGCCAAAAATATAAAGTAATGATATTGTGATGCTAAAATTATAAAAATAACTTTGCATTTGTTAAAATTATAGCAGTCAAAATGGGACTGCCATTGAAAAAAATGATAAAACAAACCTTTAATTAAAGAACTAATGAAATGGAAATAAAAATACACATGGAAAAGCGGTATTATCATTTTTTGACTTTTACTTTGTCAAGAGGAGATCAGCTATTGAGTGACAACCACCTGTTTTCCTGCAGCATCTTTTTGGGGATTAAATTCCATTTTTATTTAAATTGACATTTGTGGCCGCAATTCACTTGGCACTCTAACCGTGCCTATTTCCAGAATATTTACATTTTTGATATTGTAGCGATAGGAAGATAGCGTAGGGATATAGCATCTTTATAGAAAGAGGCAGAACCTAAAGTGCGCTATTATCCAATATGGAAGCTGACGAAGAAAAGGTTTGGGTTTAGGACCCAGAGAAGAATTGTAAAAAATTTGGTGACGATAGCTATAGTAGTGACCGAGTTAATCGCGAACAAACACACAGACAGACCATTATTTAAAGTTCAGATTTTGAGCGTAAGGTGCATTTGCCCCTCGCTCCCTATTTTAACTTTGCTAATTTTTCATGCTCTATCAGATAGCCTGGCTCAGTAAAAGTAGGCGGCCAGTGCAACTCTGATTAAAAATCTAGTTATAACCACGTGCAGTGCTGATAAGGACCACGTGTTTCTGTGACTCCTTTATTTTCTTCTTTCTCTAGGTATTTCTTTCTCCTGATGAGGAGGGACCTTTAGCTGTCCTCGAAATCGATTGAGTGTTTCATTATACCTACGCTAAATACGGTTACTTTTACGATTTTGATTTACACAGACAGACATTCTTCTTTATATACTTATTTATATAGATATCATGTTCTTCGCACTAAATCATAAAATTCAGTTCAACAGCAATATCGCAAAATAATTTTAAAAGATAGCATCTTTCCAATTTCCGATACACAGTTTCGCGAGCTGGAGATTATTTTTCCCCCCGTACAGTTTTGCCATTGCTCGGTTTGAAATTGTTGGGTTTGTTAATCAAAAGCTCATAAATAATGCTTTACAAAATATGAAATAGATAATAAAACAAATTCCAAATTTGGGCTTCCAGCTGCCCATATTCGGGTGGAGACGTACGTACGTTATTCAAAATCACATGGCTGTAGGTACCGTTATTTATAACAATGCCAGAAACATACAAACATTCATGCAGATTCTTCATTATTTGATTTCTCTAAATATAACGCAGGGCGATAATATTTGGTGGCAACAATCTGAAAAGTGATTCAGACTTTTAAAGTTTTCGACGCAAAATGCTAAAACGAAATTTAATAGCCCTTCAGTGGTAACGTTCTTTGGGCTATAAATAGAACGATAAAACTCAAAATCGCTTCAAAATTCCGAGTTATAGCACGGATTATTTACAGCATAGTTGCGACAGGGCAGTTGTAGCACTGCCCCGCGCAATCATTGAACAGTCGTAGCACGAAAGAATTAAACGACTTCAGAAAGAGCCGTCGTCACTTATCGAACTCGAGCCGTATTTCAAATAAATACCATATACCCGAAAAAAATTTTCTTATGCAGACAAGCCATATGGCAAGTTGAACTTATTTCAAAGCGACGTATACAAACGTTCTAGGATACTGTAATCCTGTACTTAGATGATGATTATCCGCCTAGACAGTATAATGATTAGGAGAGTAAACCGCGAGTTGGCTTCCGACCCAGGTATAGGTATATCCATGCAGGATTGGTTACCAACTCGCCGGGAGTCAACCACTACCTGCCAGGCTGTAGCCACAGCTGAGCAGACGACATTTATAAAATGCAGAAAAGAAATATGCATGTGCATACAAGATACTTTAAGAAGAATACAACAATGTACAAAGAAATATACCTGTGCATACAAGGCACTTGAAGAGTACAATCAATAATATATGTATATACATATAAATACCAACTCAGATACAGATATATACACACTTACATACATATATATTCCGAAACAAATAAAAGTATACAACTCTCACTCATATTCATATATACAATTTATAAACATATACGTTATCATGATAGTCAAAGTGTACATGAAGCATGCCATTGAGGTCCGCGTGATCCTAAGTATAAATTAGGTACCATAAATAAAAGATATAAACATGTACAAATACACTACAGCATTCATATACAGTACGAACTTTGTGTATGAAAACCTGGCACAGCTTAAATACAAAATTGCATATTAAACCAACATATCAACATATCTGTTGCTGACATATTGAACTAGCTTGTATAGACTTTTATGGCTACTATCTTCCAGCGTCAGAAGAGTCAGTAGTCAATTATTGTTTTCAGTTTCCGTCAGGCAACTCTGTTACTTTGTAGATTCTGGAACCAATCTAACAAAAGTAACAGAGCTGCCCAACGTTAGGGATAGCCTACTGTGGGACCAACGTTAGGGGTAGCCTATTGTGGGACCGAAGGGCCTGGTTTCGAATCCGGGAGAAGGCATGGATGTTTGTAAATGTATAGCTTCTTTGCAGAATGGGGGCACTGTAAACATACGGTGAGCCGAATGTTCTCTTGTGTAATTTGGTTGGTGGTAGGGGAGGGAGACTTATGGACCTCCCCCCATGGGGACCTATCCCTCAAAATTTGGGTGGAAAGCAGAAGTGAGACTCCTTGAGGCTCCAGCAAACATTTGAAATGCCTAATATTCTCTATGTTCTACAATCTTTAAGCATGCACGGTTAAAATGAAAATAGAATACCACTGAGTTTTCATTTACAGCTACAGAATGAGCTTTTTGAACTTACCGGAAAAACTTATCCAGGTAGTCATTACTGCATGAAGACCACGTTATCCTCCCCGGGCCAGTCTTTTCCGACATAAGATAGACACTCGGATCACAATCGTTACCATGACCATCATGTAGCATTCCTAAACTAAACAAAAAGATAAGAATTTTTTTTAATATAAGGTTTTAGGGAAATCTCCGCTTATTCTTTCAGTATTTAAAGCAAAGTAAAATAGCTTTTCTTGAAAATGAGTAATATGCAATTTAATTACGATTTTGACCAATGTGAATTAACCCTTTTCGACACGCTACCTCTTAAAGTCGGAGTTTTGATTTTAAAAAAAAGGTAGGCAGTCTAATTAGGCCTAGAGGAGTACACAAGTAAAATTTTGTGAAGATAGCACTTATCGTTTTAATTCTATGGGTGTGCCCAAAGTGGCACACTGATTGAATAGAGCTTCGAAAAGAGTGCTGATGAAACGAGCATTGTCGTCAATGAACTGACCGATGGGATGCGGAGAAAGAAACAAAGAATACAGACTCTCAGTTGTCCTAGATTATCGGTGAGCTCCGTCTGGGCACACCTAGGGTTCGCTTTTTGATTTTAGACAAGATTTCAAGATAAAAATTTTAATATAGAATAAGGAGATTAGTATGCAGCCAAAAAAATAACATAGAAATTTCTTTTCAAACAATTCCTTTTATACCCTAAAAAAATCTGGAAGATTTCTTTGGAAAATACGGGTCTTAAAAAACTAAACATGGTTAAAATATATGGACTGTTTTGTGTTGAGCTGCCATCTACTATAAATAAAGAAGATTCAGAGTAACCTATAGTAACCTATAAATCCTTTTTCATTCAATTTTTCTGTGTGTACAGAATAAACTTTTTAGGTGTGTCCAGACCGGACGCACTGTGCCGCAAAGGGTTAGTTAAACCACATTGGCGAAGAATCCTGTTAATACCCCAGGAATTCATATCCGGAATGGGGTGCTTAAGTATGGATCTCGGAATTTGATTGATAGGAGAATAACGAATTTTGTTGTTTGACTTCTAAATTTATATTTGTTCGGCGTTCTATTTTACCTATCATGTACTGTTTTTCACTTCCTGTTCTTTAATTGCTTAATTTTATGAAATAATTTACGTGGAAATAATTTTCCTGACGTAATTATATATTTGAGCAGTGAGATAGATACCTGTGGCCCATTTCATGAGCTATAACGAAAGCTGCTTCGAAATTGGAGCCTTCGTTCAACGTGCAGCTATGCTTAGGTCGGCACATACCATTCACCCACGCAAGGCCTATAAAAGAAAAGAAGCAGACTTGTAAAAATATTGCATTTAGATATTTATTCAAGTTTTTAATATTTGAGAGATTCTGAAAAATTTCATTTTTGTACTTTACGGATTAGTTCAGAATTTTTATATAAGCTGATTTCACAACAAATTTAAATGATGGTAAGTAGTGGGGGATTCTGCCACGAACCCTGCCAAACGAAACGAGGCGAAGCATTTTATCATTCACCCTGTTTTAAAATGTACTTTTCGAACATTCTGGATATTCTCTTATCCCCACCTTCAAAGAATACCTGAATTTTCAGGGATATCGCTGTTAATTTTGACCATATGGGAGTCAAACGTTTAATACGGTTTTAAGAATGAGTATAAATTTTTACCAAATATAACTATAGGGACTAGCGACCTTATAAAAAGTTAGATTTCATAATTTTTACAAAATGCATTTTTTATGCCAAAAGAATATTAATAAAGTTCAAACATTTTTATAACTGGAACTATTCGTCTATAGCGGTTATGAGAATAAGAGCTACGTAAGGACTTTTATGGACTACGTAAGGACTTTTAGGACTACGTAAGGATTTTTATGGACTACGTAAGGACTTTGTTGTTAGCAGTCTCACTTGTCTGAGAATGATCAACACAATTCACAATGGTCAACAAAACTGACAGTTGTCAACACAAGCCCCTTGACATTCATCCATCTATTGTGATGGATACTATTGGGGTTCGCTATCGTCGAAGTGAGTGGTTGCATATCTACACGGACGGCTCTGTGTTAGAGAGCGTGCGGTATTGGAGCAGAAACTCATAGAGAGGTTTTCAGTTTCTGCTTACCAATGGGCCTTCTTACTACTACCTTTGATGGGAAAATCGGAAATCTGCTGTGGCTATTCATTGTCAGTGCGCTTCAAACCTTCTGAATAATCAAAATAGTTCGCAAAAAATCTTAGACTGTAGGCCTTTGCTTAACCAGTTAACTGTGATTGACGAGTATACTCGTCATGAAGAAGCGGCACGATTTGTGTATTGACGAGTATACTCGTCATGCGTATAATGAAATAGAAAGAAAGGAGGGAGGTTTATTTAGTAAGTACTGTATATAATGACAACATAATATAAACAGAGAAAAGAAAAATAATAATAAAGAAACCGGAGCTAGTGATTGATTATAATCAAAAAAATGGGTAGAGTGGATATGAGCGATAGGACTTGTCATAGCGTACTCCACAGCAAGAAAAAGACTCAAAAAGTACTACAAAAAGGTATTTCTCCATTTCTTAGATATCATGTGTCTAAATGCATTCATATTATATAAAAAATATAATGAAACATAATCGCGTATCAACTTTATGCTCCAATTTATTGAAGACACTTTTGCGACGCATCCAATTGAAAGAAAGAAATCGACACAAACTCGGCCATTTAGACCTAATATAAGCCAATTAGGCGGGAATCATGTTCCGGATTATATACCCGGAACATCGAAAAAAACCCTACGCGAAGGTGTTCGCATTGCTACAAACGTAAGATCTGGAAGGAATCGCGTTACTGGTGTTCTATTTGCAAAGTCCCATTGTGTATAGTACCCTGTTTCCCTGGATATCACTCCACAGCCGGAATTTAAATTCTTACTTTTATATGTGTAATATTTAATTTAATTCATTGCGTTTTTAGTTTAATGTGTATGTAATATATGCTTATGTTAACCAAGTAAGTCAATATTAGTAATAAAATTTTCAATTTTATAAAATAAACCCATCTTTTCATACAATATTTTACCAGCGCAACTTATTCTGTGATGGACGAAAATACTCGTCATGGCTCGATTGTGGTGACACAAAACGGTGCGCACTCTTAAACGAGGGCGCCACAGTTAACTGGTTAAGGCAATGACACCCAGAATTTCTTTCCAATGGATTCCAGCCCACTGTGAAATAATAGGCAGCGAAACTTCTAATACATTAGGGCTAAGAAAGAAACTTTGAGAATGCAACGCATTAATTGACATTTTCATACGACTAAATTGTTTGTTAACATGACTCTTAAGAAACCGACATCATCCGAAGGGCTTTTTTCAAAATGTTCATTATAGTATTGAATTTATGAGATTTTTTCTTGAACTGCACTCGCACTTAAATATAATCGCCACAAAAGTGATTAAAAAATCATTATTTTGAGAAATTTATGCAAAATATGAAACTTTTTTATTAAAATTACTGCTCTCGCACTTACATATAATCGCCACAAAAGTGATTAAAAAATCATTATTTTGAGAAATTTATGCAAAATATGAAACTTTTTTATTAAAATTACTGCCCTCGCACTTACATATAATCGCCACAAAAGTGATTGAAAAATCATTATTTTGAGAAATTTATGCAAAATATGAAACTTTTTTATTAAAATTATTGCCCTCGCACTTACATATAATCGCCACAAAAGTTATTAAAAAATCATTATTTTGAGAAATTTATGCAAAATATGAAAATTTTTTATTAAAATTACTGCCCTCGCACTTACATATAATTGCCACAAAAGTGATTAAAAAATCATTATTTTGAGAAATTTATGCAAAATATGAAAATTTTTTATCAAAATTAACAAAAACATCAACTACCACTGACACGAATACAACGAAAATAAAAACATAATTTTGACTTCATTTCATCTACATTAACCATAAGCATACAGTGAACTACAATAATTGAAAAATATTGATTTGTTTGTAATTTATGACTAAATATGTTAGTTAACACAAAAAAAATTTTTTTAAATGCATATGCTATTAAAGTAAAAGTGATATAACTTAAATTCTGCGAGGCTAATTTTTTAACTTTTAGTCTTCATCATGCGTAATAATATACAAACTCTTTATGGAAAATTTTAAGTGATTCTATGAGCGACTTTTAGAGTTATCATGGTTGCTGTAAACGTGAAAAAAAATCATCAAAAATTGCTTAAAATGTTTCAGGTACCAGGTATCTATCATGACTTAAAACTTCTAAGAGTATTGACAAGTATATTGATAACTCAACCACATTATCATTTCAAAAATAAGATGCATGATTTATAAAGGGCTTCGTCGCACAGAGGTGCAAATACAAAATGAAAAATCTGATGTGTGCACCACATGACCTCCTTGTATAGAATATTAAATTATACGCATTTTTTCTTGCATTTCGTTTACGTATTGGGTTGAATTAAATCTACTTCGCCGACAGCGTATAAACCACAATAGAATAAATGCATTCTTTAAAATTCACTCTATTTGTTTAGCATAGCGACACTCTGGCGCTAGGTTCACTTAACAGTATTATATTTCGTTCATATTATAATTCAGAATGCACAAAATTTACATCATTTAAAGAATTATCTAATCGTTGCCACATGTTCTATTCAAATATTATAATAAAGCTAGAACGATGTATAAAAGAAATTAAACAAACAAAACAAAAAAGAAACAGTTTTTCACAGACGATTGTGTACTTCTCATTCAATTAATTCAGCTCTCACTTCGCGACAAGGCAAAAATACATAAAAAATCAAAATATCTGTATTAAAAATTAAGAAGGAAATCTTAAACACTTATTTCCTCGAAAAAATTCCAGAAAGGATTAAGCATGATTTATTTCGCAATAATAAATGAAGGCGTTATCTTTATTGTTGCGAAGCTAAGTTTCTCTAGATTGGTCACAAATCCACTGTTCTGCTATTTCAAATGTAAACAAGCAACGGCCGCCATCAAAAACATTATTAGGCTTAGCGGCACTTAAACAACTTTTAACAAAATTGTTGATAATTCTAAACATATTGCATACAGATTTATTAAAGGCATAAAAACCTTAACCGGATAAGAACAACATAATTCAATCATTTTTAAAGCAAAAAATGTACAATTTACAAACATGAGTAAAGAATCTGAGATCAGTGAGCCGGGTAACAGAGTGGAAATATATATAAATATATTTATATACGTTTGGTGCGGCCGATTGCAACCAAAATACGAGATGCACATCTACATGTTATAGCAGTCCTATATACAAAATTTCAACGTTCTGAGGCTACTCGTTTTTGAGTTATGCTAGATACGTACGTACGTTCGTACAGACGCCACGAAAAATTCTCTTCATAATTCATTTTAAAGCAGTTTTATAATTTTTTTGGAGGAAAAGAGTCTTTTATTCTGCCCTTACGTATAGATGTCACGCAAATACATTGTTAAATTGCATTCCATAGCTGTCAAAATGGATATTTTCGTTGAAATATGGTGCCTGAAACTTTTCCCGATTACAAAACTTCCTTTTTACTTCGTACAAGGAAGTAAAAATCATAAGTTTAAGTACATTAAGTAATATTAAAAGATAAAATAAAAACACAAAGTCTTTCAGCAGAGTTGATGATGAGGGTAAAATACCGCTGTTGACGCGAATTAAACTAAAATGTTGCATTTGCTAATTTAAAGTTAATAGACTAGTAATCAAAACGTTTGAAAAATAGCTGCTGCAGAAATTCCTATTTCAAGTTTATCCATAATAGATCTGGCAGCTTTAAATTTCGCAAAGAATTCTTTGACTTTCTGTAAGTGAATTTTTAACCATTCAAAAAAGAATAATTCATGTTCTTTGACATCTTACTCAGTTTTCTTTCTAAACCAGGCTGAAGCGTTTTCTAAGCAATTTTGTTCTTTGGTAGAGAAGGGAATTTGATAATGTGAATTTAGTTTTCTGATTTTAAAGATTCTTTTTTGTTTCTTGCATCTTCAGTAGCTTTTTGAATATTTCTTGGATGTTTAGCACAACCTTGGTAGAGCGAAACGAAATTTGCAGATTAACATAACATGATATGTATACACAAATATTCACGTTGCCAAAACGAAAATGAAAAATACTTTGCCAGAATTTTTAGACCAACTGAAATGCTTAAAATTATTTAGTTAACAAGTAAAAGGGCAAAAATTGCATTTTTAATTTGCCCTTTAAACTTTCACTTCCGCTTTGTTGCCACTCAGAAAACTGATATATCTCCACTTCTAATAAACATATAAAGAAAAGTTTTTCTTGATAGCTAAGACTGTGGTGTTTAAAAATATGGAATTAAAAAATCTGATGTGTGCACCACATGACTTTCTTGTACACAATATTAAATTATACCCATTTTTTCTTGCATTTCATTTAAACTTATTGGATTGAATTAAATCTACTTCGTCGATAGCGCATAAACCACAATAGAATAAATGCACTCTTTAACATTCACTATATTTGTTAACTAACTCAGAACGCACAAAATGTAAATCATCTTAAGAATTATCTAATTGTTGCCACATGTTCTATTCAAATACTATAATAAATCTAAAACGATGTATAAAAGAAATTCAGCAAAGAACAATAAAAAAATAAAAAGAAAAAGAAAAGAAAAGAAACAGTATTTTCACAGACGATTCAGTATTTCTCATTCAATTAATTCAGTTCTCACTTCCCGACAAGGCACAAAAAAAAAAAAAAAAATACAGTAAAACTCAAGATGTCTGTATTGAAATTTATGAAGTAAATCTTTAACACTTATTTCCTCGAATAAATTCCAGAATTGAATAAGCATGATTTAATTCGCAATAATAAAAGAAGGCGTTATCTTTGTTATTGCAAAGCTTACTTTCTTTAGATTGGCAACAAATCTATTATTCTGCTGTTTCAAATGTAAACAAGCAATGGCCGCCATGTAAAAAATTATTAGGCTTAGCGGCACTTAAACAACTTTTAAATTGTTGATAATTCTAAAAATATGGCATACAGATTTACTAGAGGCATAAAAAACTTAACCGGTAGATAAGAACAGCATAATTCAATCATTTTTAAAGCAAAAAAAAATTTACAATTTTTGCTTTAAAATAAGAATAAAGAAATATTTATTAATATAAGAATAAAGAATATTAATATAAGAATAAAGAAACTGAGCTCACCGAGCCGAGTAACAGAGTGGATATATATATACATATATTTAGGTGCGGCCGATTGAAACCAAAATACGAGTTGCACATCTACATATTATAGCGGTCCTATATACAAAATTTCAACGTTCTGAGGCTACTCGTTGAGTTATGCGAAAAAGGTACGTACAGACGCCACGAAAAATTCTCTTCAGAATTCATTTTAAATCAGTTTTATAATTGTTCGGGAAAAAGAGTCTTTTATTCTGTCCTTACGTAGAGATGTCACGCAAAAACATCGTTAAATTGCAATCGATAGCGGTGAAAATGGATATTTGCTTTGAAATATGATGCCTGAAACTATTCGCGATTACAATACTTCCTTTTTACTTCGTACAAGGTAGTAAAAAACTTATTTTTTTACCCACAATCGGTCTTTCGAGCTGACTGGACATAACTGTTTTCGAGACCACCTTTCCAGAATTAGAGTGGTGGATTCCTCAAACTGCGTGACTGCAAAACAGCCTATGATTTGTTGAACACTTAAATAATTGTATTGCACATCCCCCGTATCAGGACATTGTTAAAACGTGCTGGAAAGCCTGCGAACCGATTATGCTGTTTGGCATTCGTAAAATAAATAAATGAATAAAACTATTTCTTTTTCATAAAAAAAAGTCTGATATGGACTGACAGCACATGACTTATATATATGTAGGGCCTATTAAATTATACACATATTTTGCTGCACTTTATTTTAACTTGTTTCCTAGAATTATTCTGACTTGGTTAACCGATTCCTGAAGACAAGTCGAAAATGACATCAAAAATTGAAAATTTTTTTGATTAAATATGCCAGTCAATTCTTGTCGTACCAGAGTCAAACTTCTTATAATTATATTTTTTATAACGAGCATAAAACATTCCTAGGTATAAATACAGGAACTGAGAGACCTCATTAAAAGATCGAATTCGTTATTTGTCCAAAAAATTTTTTTTTAATCTGCTGTTGCAAAACAAGAATGTTTTCGTTATTTAAAACACTTTCGTGATTAAAAGTATATCATTACAACCAACGCCTGCGTTAATAAAAGTCGAATAAGACTTTTAAACCGGATATACAGGTGGTATACTTTAAGGGTGGTTAAAGTGGATTGCAATAAACAAGGGAGGTGCATAACAACATGCAACAGCAGTCCCATATACAAAATTTCAACGTTCTACGGCTATTTATTTTCGAATTATAGGAGATAGATACATAAGTATACGTGACTAGAGATGTCACGAAAAAATACTATTTAAATCCACGTTGCAATCCGTTTTGTCAAAAAACTTCCTTTATTCTGCCCATAGGTACGTACAGATGTCACCCCCCTCAAAAAAATATAGTGAAAATGGATTCGAAAACGATCAAAATGGGAATTTCCGTTAAAATATGATATTCGAAATTTTTCGCAATTACAGCACTTCATTTACATCATACAAGGAGTAAAATTCATTAAATCGATCCATTTTTACGCATTTAATAAAAGTACCGGATCTCTAGTTATTTTAATTTGGCGTCTACAATAAGAAAACACACTTACCCAATACTTTCGCATTCTTTTCATTTTTCAGAGACACTTTGTGGAGATCAAATCTGAAATAAAAGCGCATGCATTAGGAGTTAGGAGATGCATTTTCTAATCAATCCTTATAACAAGATCAAATTTTGAGTATGTTCAGAGCAGAATATCCGGACACCCGGGCGGCTTTCACATACTATTCGAGTGCACCCGGAATTGTCTAGGGCACCATCCTCCCCACGCTCCATGAGCGAAGTTTATTGCAAAAAAAAAAAAAAAAAAAAAAAAAAAAAAAAAAAAATGGAAGTAGAATGACATGGCCATACAGGGGCTAATGTTTTACATTTGCCCTGTACAATACAATTGATCATAGTACAATTAGAAATACACTTTATGATTCGTTCAACATATACCGTACACTGCGGGAACAAAATGGCAAAGTTCTATATCTCCCGCTCTATTCAGCCGACTGGGGAAATTCAACTTGCGTTTTTGAGGCCTCGAAACCGCAACTTAGGATATATATTAGATTTATATATAGTTATAAATCTAATGTATATCCTAAGTTCTAGTTCCTAAGTTGTTCTAATATAGGTATTTTGATACAAAATCGGACTTTTTCTGAAATGTCATGCCAATTGTGTTCCATATTTCGATTCTAACAAGCAAACCTTCTTTCTTCGATATCGGTTTGCTGGAAACCCGTATATTTTCTGAAATCTTCTGTCACGCATAGAAAGTCTTTGAAACCCTAGGGGCAGAGGGACAAGCGTTCAGAAGCTATAGGACCCAGAAAGTATCAGTGAAGTGTTGGAAAGAGGACACCAAAAGTCGCCAAAATGCTCGTTTCACGTATTTATATGAAGTAATAACATAGTAAGAAGGTAATATAAAGAATCTCAATATAAAAGAAGAAACAACTCGTTAGAAAGAAACAATATACGTTGGGAATGTTGAAAATCTGACTTGTTGTTGACTTCAAACAAAATCTATTACGAGAGACAATTAATGTGCAAATCGTCAAAAAAAAAAAAAGGGGGGGGAGACGGGCAGAAAGACAGTTCATAATGGACACGTTTTACAAAAGCGATAGCCTCACACTTTGCACACGTCAATGAATCGAAGCAATAATCCATCGGCGCAATCCACACTCTAGGTTCGTCGTTCGGCCTTATAAAAAGCATACAGTAAGACCCCGCTTAACGCGAGGGATACGTTCCATCAAAGTAGAGCGTAATGCGAAACAGCGCTAAACGAGGCTATCTTAACATTTAAATAATGGGGTTAGGGGAAGATGGATAAGAAACTTGGTTAGGTATTAAATTTAATATTTTTTTAATAAAAATAAAACCAAACATTTATTTCTTACAAAAATAAAAAATATATAAACGAATATACGAGTACTTATAAAAACAAATAAAATTCTCAGTCAGTCAGATCATTCAGTCTATTCTGTGTTTCCAATTTTCTGCCGTTTTGTCAAGAAGACAAAAAATTGGAATTGATTAGATTGGCTTAATCGCATATCGCGTTCAATTTCGTCGTCAATCCATATATACAGTCGTTTTTCCATTTCCTCTGTACTGTTGTTTCTAGAACGGGTAATTCTAGTTGCAGAGCTTGACGTAGTTGCAGTTGCCGATGACAGTATTTTTTCTTTATTCTTAAGAATTGTCCTTATTGTTGAAGTGCCAAATTCAATGCAGCACTTTTGAGATTGACGTTCACCAGAATCTAATCTTCTAATCACTTGCATTTTAGTTTCCAGTGAAATGCTTTTTCTGGTTTCTTTCTTTTCTTTTTTTTATTATCGCCCATGTTAAAAACTAAAGATCATAATATTTATCACTGTATTAATCGTTATAGTATTATGTAAATTTATACTTACAATAATGCCAACAAATGTTTCAAATGATAAAAATGCGTCCGTACAGCACCGCACCAAACAAGAAACACAACTACAGTGTTTTGGATATGTTATTTGGTGCTGCGATCAATTTCGGGGAATCCCCGTAGCGCTGCGATCAACTTTCGGGGAATCCCTGTAGTGCTGCGATCAATTTCGGGGAATCCTCGTAGTGCTGCGATCAATTTCGGGGAACCCCCGTAGTGCTGCGATCAATTTCGGGGAATCCTCGGGTTGAAATAAAAAAGCGCTGAACCGAAACAGTGCTGAACGAAACAGCGTTAAGCGGGATCTTACTGAATCATTTTTTTGAAAGGAGGTTTGGTTTGATTTGGTTTGGTTTGGTTTATTAGATTACGGCAAAGCCCTCGAGGGCTATCTGCCTTAAAGGAGGGATGCCTTCGTGGAGGACTTTTTAAGTCTTGAAAGGAGGAGCACTGAACTCTATAGTGAAAAGGACTGCAGGGTCAGAAAACCATCGCGATGCCAAATGTGCTCTTGTTTCTCGATAACGGTTGTGTCCTTTATGTAACGAATAAAAGATTTGCAGTGTCCGAAAAAATGAATATTCAGAGGCTGGATCTCTCCGTGCATCCTTCAGACACCACTTCATTTGTATAACTTTACTATCAGGTATTCCCTAAGTATACAATTCACGATCTTTGTTAGAACACCATGAATCCACTAAAAGCAGAATTTTCTTCCTCTCATCAGGCGGCATACTTAACCAAAATTACGTCACGACAGAACCGTTTGAAGTCTGCTTTCGACATGTTCGCTGTTTTTCCAGCACACGATCTTATATTTAGAGGATATGGCGGCTTTGGCTGCGGAAAATATTCCAGGTAGCTCGAATACAAACACACACGTTGGTCGCAGCATTTCGCCTTCCATTGAAATCATATGCGTAATCATTAAGCTGTGTTCCGTTGCAGAGACTGATCCAACGAACAACTATTCTTCCTCTGGTTGCCATGGTTCGATGGCATTGAAACTCTTTGAAACACTTTGAGGGTCCTATAGCTCCTAAATGGTTGTCCCTCTGCCCCTAAGACTTCAAAGTTTTTCTACTTGTGACACAAACTTACAGAAAATATATGGGTTTCTGATGAACTGGTATCAAAGGAGAGGAGGACTACTTGCAAGATTCAAATTATGCCAAACTGCGAAGTTTTGTAAAAATCGCACGAGTAGTTTTTAAAAAAATTAGCTTTCAAAATTTTAGCTCCTCCATGTTAATTGAATTTGGTATATAGTTTTACGAAATGTACAGGTATGGTAAGATAGCTTCCCCGTAAAGCAGTTTTAGAGTTGCCATAAAATTACAAGGGGGTGCAGGGTTGCCACATTTGGCGACAAAATTTGCGATATGCCATGAACGGATGGAGAACCATCTGGAACGAATTCTTACCGGTTTAGCACAGAATGTTCTCGAACACAAGCCGAAAGATATATACAAGCCCTGCTGGTCCACACTCGGTTAGTGTGCCTCGTCTAGCGAGCTGATAGTCATTGAGCGAGTGTCTCGAAGTCTAGCGCTGAGTTGGTCGTTGAGTGCATCGAAGAGTCCCTTAGTGTATCGCGGTTAGTACATCGTCGAGAGAGTGTGTTAAGCGCCGGGAACGACTGAACCGAGGAGTCGGGAGCTGTGCTCTGTGTGTCGTCGTGTACATCGCGAGTTGTAACTTGGAGAGTCTCGAGAGTACGTAGAGTTCCGAGAACGACCGAGCAGAGTCGGGAGCTGAACTCTAGTGCTTTGCAGTAAAGCTGTCTTCACCGTCATTGCCTGACAGTATGAAGGCTGTGTCGCTGATTGTTCCAGCGTATTTATTGTAGATCTTCGACGACTGTAAAAGTGTTTTGGAGCTGTCGTGATTAATAATGGTAAATGAAGTGTGTTTCAATATTCCATCAAGTGCTGTCGTCGTTATTCACTCCAAATCCACACAAACCCCGTACGAACGTGAAGGAAAAAAATAACGTAACAATATTTATCAATACTTCCTTTTTCTTAAATTTATTTCATTCTTCCTTTCACATTTCGAAATTTAGGTTCATTCCAAATAAAATTCGCCGTTTTTTATAATTTATTTTTTAAATTTCTATTTTTAAATTTTTATAAATTTTTTGAAAACCATTTTGAATTACTCGTATAATAGATAAAAATTTTTATACCATCATCTTAAAGTAGATGTATTTTTAAGCATACCTGCAAAAAATTCGTTTTTTTATGCAAAATTTCCAAATATATACATATATTAATATACTGGCGCGTCTTTAAATTTGACATATTTGTTATAAGCTATAATAACGCCAAATGGCATACACACTTTGTTTAAATTATTTGAAAATATGAACAAGGCACTTTTTTTCCTCTCGTGCAGAAAAAAAATTGGGCAAAGTAAAATAGGTTGCTTTAAATTAAGAAGTTCGCCAAGTAAATTAGTCTTGGCGCAAACTGAAAAAAGTGGGCCAAGAAAATTTTTTAATTTCTCCGTAAATTTCGCACCATATTTTCCAAAATTTAATATTTAGGCGCAATTTGAAACAAAATATGGAAAAAAAATCGTCATGTCATTTCAGGAACGTCCGATTTTGCGTCAAAATACCTACATTAGAACAACGCTAAATATAAAGCTAATATATATCCTAAGTCCCACTTTCGAGGCATGATGAAAAAACGCAATGTGATTTCTTCAATCGACCCAGTAGAACGGGAGATATAGAACTGCCTTATTCTTTCTTTTTGCACAGTGTACATAAAACATTCAGTTACATACGTTATGCATATGTTACGGTGAAACACCGAAATCTGGAGAATGTCGACTTTCACCGGTGAATGTCAACATTCACATAGTTGCTTGGTGTATGTCCGAAATATTTTCCAAATACTCTTATTTCTGACTTACACCGGTCAATGTCGACATCCACCATGTACTAATGGTGAATGTTGAACATATAACAATATTATATTTTCTTCTCCGTCATTCAGTCGCCAAAAAAAGCACTTGAAACTTAAAATAAGAACAAGAACTTAAGAATATAAAAACTTAAAACATACAGTACATTCAATATGAGAAAAAAATAAAAATAGATGTTAAAAAAAAACTTAATTATACAGTACGTTGTAAATGAGCAAATAAAATAATAGTACTAAAAAGCTTACTAAATTAAGTGATTCAAATCTTATTTATCGCAACAACTTTGAATTGTCGACTTATTTATCGCAACAACTTTGAATTTGACACTTTGAATTGTCGACTCCTCTCTTTTCGACCTATACCAGAGCATATTGTCGACATACACCGGTTGAGGGACCGAATGTACAAGAATATAATGCAATATTCGATCTCTCACCGACGCATTTGGTGAATGTTGACATTATCCGGTGAAAGTCGACATTGTCCAATTTTTTCTTTGAAAACTGAGGGTCTTAAAAATCTAAACATGGCTAAAATATATGGACTGGTTTGTGTTGAGCTGCCATCTACTCTAAATAAAGAAGGTTCAGAGTAACCTATAAATCCTTTTTCATTCAATTTTTCTGTGCATACAGAAGGAAATTTTTAGGTGTGCCCAGACCGAACACACTGTACCGCAAAGGGTTAAAGATCGTAGAAACAATCACACGTATTTTCAGTTGTAAGCAAGTAAATAAAAACAGAAGAAAACACGTATGTATCACAAAGTTTACATCCGCACTTGTTTATAAAAGACGGTTCATATAATCACGACAAAGGATGCTTTCATGGAGGAATTTCTAAGGGAAATTGGCATGTATACACGTTACACATATGAAAAATCGCGAAAATGCTCATGCAGTCAGCCCGTTCGCGGGATTCGAACCTCGGACCGAACTTTCAGTATTCAGCGACTTTACCGTTCGGGCACTGAACGGTAAAGTCGCTGAGTAGTTCTGGTAATATAAAATACTGGTATATAATACTGGTAATATAAAAAAATAAATGAAAAGTTACATATTATAAAAAATAAATTAAAATGTATATTTACAGCATTTTTATTATTATATTATCTTATTAGATTGTCATCAAATTATAGCCAGAAAGGGTAGAGATAGCTTAAGATTAACATTTCTGTCAAATGAATTTCCAGTCTGAATCTGACAGGGAAATAAATAAATAAGCTCATTTAATGCTTTTTATTAGCCCAAAAGGCGTTAGCCCAGAAGGGCTATTAATTTCGTTTTAAGCATTTTGCGTTGAAAACTTTAAATGTCAGTTCACTTTTCAAATTGTTGACACCAAATATTAGAGCCCTGTATTATATTTATTTTAAAAAATTCAATAATAAAGAATCTGCAAAAATGTATGTATCTTTCTCTTACTATGCTAAAACAGCGGTACATACACACATCGAATTTTGAATAACGTAGTCCTCCATACCCGGTTAACATGATGGCGTGGTCCCAGTGTAGCTCAGAGGAAACAGGAGGATTCTTAAGAGATTGCCAAGAGCAGAAGTTATCCAAATATTGGTCAATATTGCCTTCAGCTGCGTCAGGTGCCTCCTGTTAGAAGTAGACAAAAGTAATCGATTTAAATAAACAGGAAACAGATGTTTTAATTTTTTTTAAATATACAGAAGAACAAAATAAAAAAGATAGTATTTACTCGCAAACCTTTTCTACTTCCTTGTGCGAAGTAAAGGAAGTATTGTAAACAGGAAAAATTTTGGTTATCATTTTTCAACAGAAATATCCATTTTGACCGTTCCTGAATCCATTTGACTAATATCTTCCGAGACGTATGGACAGAATAAAAAACTCTTTTTTCTAAAACGAAATTTTATCGTGACGTCTGTATATACGTAGGTATATCGCATAACTAAAAAAGGGTTACTGAAAACGTTTAAATTTTGCGTATGGCATCTAGTTGTGCACCTCCCTCTTTTTTATCGCAGTCAGCAATACCAAAAGTATATATATCTCCAACCTCCTTACATGGCTTAAAATATACTTCCAGTTACAAAAGTATTTTGAATAAAGGAAAAAATTCATGTTTAAACAATTTCAAACTTAAAAAAAAAAATTCATTTTGGACAAAAGACGAAATCTAATTTTTAATGTTGTAAACGTTTCCTATACTTTTATTTGAAAAGTTTTATATTCGTTATAACAAAATAAAAAAAATCTAGTGTGTACACCACGACTTCCTTGTACGGAATATTAAATTATGCGCATTTTTCCTGCATTTCATTTAAACTTATTTCCTCGAATTTCATTAGAGATATATTTCTCATAAAATTAATTCGGTTCTAACTTCGCGACGGTACAAAAATACACAAAAGCTCAAATATCTATATTGAAAACTGAAAGATATAGAAAAACATAAAACACCAATTACAGTTAAAACAATTAAAAGACAATTTTTACAATTAAAATTACAGTTTCTACGCAAAACCAAGCCATTCAACCAGAAAACAAGAGGACAGATTTTCCGGGCACAAAACTGAAAGTTTATTTTTGATCTCACTCGGCAAAAAGACACTGAAGGCGTAGAAACAGACTTAATTTGCCGTGGACGCTATGCAATAGATGGGATAATTTAATAACTTAAATGATATTCCAGAATGGATTGAACATAATTTAATTCGCAATAATAAAAGAAGACGTTTGTTTTTGCGAAGCTTAATTTCTCCAGACTGGCAACAAATCCACTTTTCTGCTAAGTTTCAAATGTAAACAAATATGGCTGCTATGGTAAAAAAGTAGGCTTAGCCGCACTTGAACAACTTTTAAATTGTTGATAATTCTACAACTATAACGTGCAGATTAACTAAAGGCATAAAAACCTTACCCGGAAGATAAGAACTACATAATTCAATCATTTTTAAAACAAAAAATGCCCAGTTTAAAAACATATAAGGATTAAAATAACTGTGCTCACGGAGCCGAGTAACAGAGTGGGTATATAGATATATTATATACTTTTGGTGCAGCTAATTGCAATCCTTCTGTGGTTCATAGACTTTAGCAATTTCTAATCACAGATTCGGCATCCAGGAGATTCAGCATAGGTTGGCCAACCGCTACGACAAGCGCGGATGACCGATATTTCTTGTTATGCGCACGAAGGAATAGAATCTCAACTCCGACTCAACTCAGATCCTCCCTTGCTGCAGCCGCCAGAAGGTTGGTGTCAACGTCAACTGTGCGTAGAAGGCTTCACGAAGGACATCTATATGCGAGGTGGTCCGCTATTTGTATGCCACTCACATCACACTATA